AAGGACAAAAAAAACAAAAAGATGATTAAAAAAAAACAAAATTAAGGAAAAACCTATAAAGCAGGATTATTTTGAAGTTAATTTTAAAGATGTTTTTATTTTATTTAGTTTTTTTATTCTGGATAAGCTGTTTTCTTATTTTTAGTTATATATCGTTTTTTTGACAAAAAATGTTCTTCATGTGATATAGTTTTTTTATATAGAATTATAGATAATGTAGATGTTGTATTAATTTCTATTATCAAAGCACCTTTTAAATTGATTTTATTAATCTTAGAATCGAAAAGCTTTAAAAAATTACATCTTACTATAACTCTTTTTACAAAATGTTTTACTTTTTGCTTATTTTCTCAGATTGCATTTTTTCCGAATTTAATAGAATTTGGAAATGTAGTAACTTTGGTTCTATTATAGCTTTTGAGCTGATTTTTTCACATAACACACATAATAGATTGTTTCATGCAATAAACCAAAAGTTTTATTTAAATATTTTATATTGTCTGTGATTAGCTTGTCTAAAGTTCAATTTTATGTTGAAAATATAGAAAAATATAGTTGATTTTTTAAAAACTCAAACAGACATCCTTCCCGAAATAATATTTCACTTTTTTTTGGTTTATTGCATGCTTCTAATGTAAATAAATAATGTTAGAAAGTTTCATTGAAAAATAGTTTACCAACCCAATGGAATTAGCTTTCCAAATTTCAAGAATTTATGATTTTCGCCATTTTGAATTTGTAACCATGGCAACAGCAGACATTTAAAAAAAATGAAAATATATTTTTTTAAACACTATTGTATTATCTTTTCCAATGAATACCCTAAAAATCTTTTGAACTTGGTAGTTGTCGAAATATTTTTGAGGGGGGTGAGCCCCCTTTAAAAAACTACACTAAAAAAATCTATTCTGTTAAAGATAAGGTTACTAAAAGGAAACGCGAGACAAAAAAAACCTAAAAACTCTAAAAAGTCTTTATTAACCAATAGTAGCGATAAGAAGTAGCATGATTTACTGCCGAGAACTGTTTGGTGAGTCCAATCCGGGAGAAAAGGGATTATGTGCTCTGTTTTTTACCTTTGAGCTCACGAGGCATGCTCAAGTACAGATTCATATGCTGCCGAATACATCTGTGACTTCTGTGCTGACGATTGATATCTACATATATATATCTATATATACATATATATATATATATATATATATATATATATATTATATATATATATATATATATATATATATATATATACACATATATGTATATATATATATATATATATATATATATATATATATATATATATATATATATATATATATATACATATATATATATATATATATATATATATATATATATATATATATATATATATATATATATATATATATATATATATATATATATATATATATATGTATATATATATATATATATATATGTATATATATATATATATATATATATGTATATATATATATATATATATATATATATATATATATATATATATATATATATATATATATATATATATATATATATATATATATATATATAGATAGATAGATAGATAGATAGATAGATAGATAAATAGATAGATATATAGATATGTACATATAATTTACTTGGGTTATGTTCAAGTGCTTTTTTTTATTATTAAACATGGCGTATTTTAAACTTTCATATTATGTTTCAATTAACCCCATTGTCTGTTCCAACTAGCCGCAATGACGGGGTTTGTTGGAACATTTTTTTGCAGCTCTCTAATCAAAGATATTTTAAAAACTATATAGCTAAATTTAATCATTATTAACTTCAAAAAATATTTGCATTTTGACCACAAGTTCACAAATAAAAAAAAAAGTTTTAACTAACCCCGATCTCCCCTACAAACATTGACAGAAAAAGTTTTTAAAAACATTATATTATTATAGGTTAGTGAACAAGAAATAATAAACACATAAGAAAACTAATGGAATATTTTGAATATTATTGTGCAATTCTTTTTTACTAATAGCTAAAAAATATTTATTATATTTATTTTGACACCTAAATCTAATAGAATAAAAAAAAAAAATCACATCAATAGTAGTTTTACATCTTATTTCAGAAACAAAATAATAATATTAAAAAAAGGTTGCAGGAATTGAAATAGCAGTCGTATCTGAAAAAAGGAAAATTTTTTTTTTTTTACTTTAGCTAAGCATTAAAAAAGTTAATTTTTTAAAATTAAAAAGTTGAAACTATGTATGATAAATAATAAATAAATCATGCTTAAATAAATAAAACATGATAAAAGATAAATTAAATATGATAATACTTTGTTTTGAAAAATTGTACTCTCAATGTTGACTCAATGTATCGGCGTTGCGAAGCAACGCCGATACATTGAGTCAACAAGGCATTGACACTTTTCTTCGGGTATTGCGTACCACATGTTTTTTGAATAGCTATCCATAACTGCTGAGCATTAGCTGGATTAGCAGCAGAAACTGCTTTTTTAACGTCTCCTCATAAGTTTTTAATGGGTTTTAGGTCGGGTAACTGAGCAGGCCACTCCATGATAATCGAACAGTTGTGTCACTCACATATAATTCAAGATCATCTCTGACTTGCTTGGCTGATGAAAATGGTTTATTTTTAACATGTCTTACAATTCTTCGGTATTCTTGTGCCGTAGTCATACGTTTTTTACCTCATTTTTTAACTTTAAGGCATTTGAAATTGTTGAAATTGCTGAACATTTGAAAATATTTTGTATATATGAGTAAGATTTACCCTCTCTATGATGCTTCAAAATAATGTTGCGTTCTTTTGGTGTTTAATGACGTCTTTAGCTTACTTCGAAAGATTTAGAAAAAGTTTTTACCATTGAGCATAAACAAATAAATCGCTATAATAGCTAGTCGCTAGCGACTTGCGAGCGACTAGCTAGCTTTATAGCGATTTTCAAGCAATTTTTTTTTTTCTTATTTTGTTTTTTCCTAATGCCTTAAACGTCTTTAAAAATTCGATTTTCAGTGTTAACACTATTATAATTATGAGAATAATTAAATTTTAAACATTGCGATTTTGTAGCAAAGTATCGTTAGCTACATATTGTAGCTTTTTAGCTAGCTACAAAATATCTACAAATTTATAGCAGGTTGATAGCTATAAATCAAAATTTTTTAGGCCGCGATTTTATTACGATATGACGCTAGCTACAATAGCCAGTCGGTCTTTAGCTTATTAAGCTAACTATCCTCGTAGCCAAATTGCTGTTTTTATCTTGACAAATATCAATAGGTTTTCGCTTACTTAAAAAAGCTACCGGTCTTTGTGGCCAAATTGCTGTCTTTATCGTTACGATTATAGCTAGCTATTCGCTAGCCGATTTCCCTCCGGGATACTTACTTTTCCTATAAAAACTACAAAAGTTTTTTAAAATTCTATAAACTAGCTTTAAAACCAATACAACCACTGCTATTTTAATGCATTCTCTCAATTACAATAATTTTATTAAAAATAAAGGTATTCTTGGATGTATTGAGTTCTCTTATGGTCAATTTACTTATCTCATTTTTGTAAATACACACATAAAAAATTAGCCTTTTTATATTATACAGAAAAAGAGTAATAATGAAAGTGTAAATAATTTTTTTGTACTGCTATTTTCACGCTCACAGCTGTAGTAGTAGTAGTAGTAGTAGTAGTAGTAGTAGTAGTAGTAGTAGTAGTAGTAGTAGTAGTAGTAGTAGTAAAAACAATTGACAAAATAAAAATCATAGATTGTCAGATTACAGTTAGTTTTTGTTAGCTCATATTGCAGTTTTCACAAGGAAAGCTGCGAGCTGTAGTAACATTAGGGCTTATTGAGGCTCGTTTTAAAGCTGTTGACAGTTGGAGAATTGATTACTTTATCTAGTAGCATGTTGCATGCATTAACAATACGATTATTAAAAAAGTGAAAGCAAGCTAAACGGTTGCTTTACTTTTCACAATGAATTCATTTTCACCAAGATCAAATCTGTGATTTGATCTTGGTGGAAATGAGATGAGGGGAAATTGACAGTTGACTATGCAACGTTATTAACAATTTTGTATTTTTGGATGAGGTCACTTCGTTTACAACGTTCAACTAGAGTAGATAGGGGAAGTTGTAAATGAGAGTTTCATAAGAGTGGCCTGAGTCTAAAAAGTTATGTTGTTGAGGATTGAGTTAGTTCTTCGATCAAAATTCGATAAAATAGGGAAGATTTCCATTGGATGACTCTTTGCTAAAAACTGCTTGAAATTAATTGTTAAGTGAGTTAGCTATTTTAATTTTGTCAGAGATGATGATTTCACTAGAATTGGTGATTCGCATAGATAAGATCTGATTTAATACAGAGCGTTTACTATTTACGTATGAAAATAGTCTTTTAGGGTTGCGCTTATCATTTACAAGAGCAAACTCAAAAGATTTCAGAGACAAGCGACTTTATTGTTTAAATTTTTTAAAATTTAATATAAAGGAGAGTCTAAATATTTTGGGCTAAAACAAGGTTAAATTGTCTTGCTCTCTGCTACCCTCTTCTTCCTTTGGATACCCCTGCTATTACTTACTACGCTCTAAAATAAAAAACGTTTTCTATAACTGCTTTTATGATTGCATTATGCTTATAATATTGTTACAAATGAATAGTTTAGACTGAGCCATCAAAAATAATATGGAGTCACTAATTGCTCTCCATAAAGAACTGATTTTTAACAATTTTAAAAAAAAGTTTAAATCTCCACCTGAAATTTAACATAAATGACACGTGAAAGCCTAATTTAAACAACATAGTTAAATAGTATTATATAAGTCAAACATCAAGTTAAAATGTGTCGATATAAAAAATTGTTTTTTTTACTAACTATTCAAGAATGAAAAAAGAAATAACAAAATTTGAACTCATATGAAAATGCATAATAAGAGTACAGAGAACCGCTGTGCTATACGTAGAAATCTTAAGCTTCCAAACCACATTCTGTACATCTCCATATCACTTTAGCGTAATTCAAGAATAAATATTTATTAATGAGAATGAGAATAAGTAAGTAATAAAAATTTATTTAAAAAGAGTTATGACAATGAACCTTTAACATTAGTATTTCTTGAGTTTCAACAGGGTATTGAAATAATGCTTTGTTTCAGATATCATCTTTGTTTTTATTCTTCAAACATGTTTCTGCAAACGAGCTTCAATCAAAGAGTTGCAAGAACAATTTATATCTATCCTTTCAAAAGTGGAACACAAAGGTTATTTTGTGGCAAATAAAAAATTTTAAATTATAAATGTTGAATTGAATAAAAATATTATCTTTATTATTTTTTTCTTCAGTCCATTTTAATTCAAAAAAGAAAAAAAATTCAAAAATTATTTAAACCAAACTATTTTTAGTTATTGATAATTAACATTACTTTTTAAAAATCTTTTAAAAAAATAATTTTTTACCCAAAATATCTTCTTTGCAAAACAAATTTGTATCTACTGTCGAATAAACTTTATTTTTTATTTTAATTAACATAATTAAAATAGTGATTTTTACAATTGGCTTTATAGTTTAATCAGAACAAAAGTTTTATTTTAAACTACTATTTTGTTCCACCAATAGCCGGAATAAGCTTGTCAATCACAAAACAAATGTTCGGGTGTATTTACGTAGTAAAACTAGAAGAAGTATGGAAGAACATACCAGTAAGGTTTCTGCAAGAAATTCTTTTCCCTGATATCAACTTATCACAACTCTCAGGTATTTAAAATGACTGCACGCAAAACAGTTTATTGTTTATAATTCCAGACAAATTTTATAATGCTTTTTTTTATTTGTTTAGGTCGCTTTTTACAAACCGATCAGTTGAAGGTTGGTGCTTACAGTTTAAATGTTTGTGATAGAAGGAATCCAATATACGAACTTTCTGTCAACGCAGCTTCGTATGATTTGGCTAGCAATCATTTTGCTGTAAACAATCTTTCTATGTTGGTTACTTTCTCTGCGATAAGTAACCGTGTTACTGGAATGATAAACATAGTCTTATCAGACGGCTACGCGTTTTATAACTTCAACGGCGATCCGATCTATATTCATATAAGTTCGGAATACGGAGAAAAGCACGTGTCTTGCAAGTGTACATTCAAAAACATTTCGTTTATAAGCATTCTTGAAATATTTCAACAAGAAGTAATTGAAAATATTTTTTTAGGAAAAATCCAAAATAGTCAAAATTTGGATTTAAAGCAGTTAGAGTTTATAGATGTTGATTTGGAAGGATATATTAGTCCTTTAGAAGGTTTTGAGTTTCAGATCACAGGTGGTCCACGTGGGTTAGATATTTTCGCTAATTCCTCTAAAACATTTGTTATTGTTAAACAAAATGAAGAGCAAAAAATCATAAATTATTTTTTATTTTCATTAATTGAGAATTTTGATTTTTCACATTTAATTAGTAATTTTTCTGGTATAAAAAACTTACCGTATTTGCAACTTATTGATGGAACTTTAGCTATTTTAATATCAGATGGTTGCTTCTCTAATTTTTGGAATGAAGCCATAAAAATTGTGATCAATAACTTTTTGGCAGGTACAGATTTACAAACAATTTCAAAAGAGGGCATTCATTATTTTTACAGAATTAAAAACTTGCCGAATAATGAAAGTTTGGATTTTAAAAAGGAAGAAGGTACTTAATTTATTTATGCAATTATTTAAGCAATTATGTCACAATGCCTAATGCATTTTTATTTACCAATATTGTCAGCTAATTGTTTTATTACATTGTTAAAAATTTAACCATTCAAATATTTTGTTTTATTTATAGGAGGTCTTTCTTTTAATAATACATATTTTCCTCTTAACTATGTTGCATCTCTTATACCAGCATCATATGATAGGCAAACAATTGATAATGGTTCAAATAATAACACAAGTTTTTTTTCAGGTTAGTTTTCAGTTTGATTTTAAATAAGTTAATCATTAATGACTGGTTCATTGTACTAATGAATACACTAAGTACATGATATAATTAATTAATAACTAATTTGTTTATTAAGTTACATATTTCAGTTTCCAGTGGCCTCAGAGGTATTTTATCTGGAAGTGAGATGGGCATGTAGCTCACCATTTTAGATTTTCTTTATACTTTGTAAAAACGGTCACCTTTATAACATAGGCTATTTTGCAAAGTTTAGCGCTAATATCAAATGGGTGATGATATTGTTACTTTCAAATCAGCTTTTGATTTTACTATAGTTTTTGTTTTACGAATTACTGTTTAACTATAAATGTGATTAAGCTGAAAATTAGCACTAGTATAGTTTTTAAGATGAGGAATCAGAATATATTTTTTTTCAATGAAAATATTTAGAACTATATCAATATGGGGATTGTACTTTATCTATAGCTATATTTGAAATTTTAACAAAAGCAGAACAGAGGCCTGGTAATCATGGTAGAATTAATTTTTTGTAAATTTTGTTGTTGTTATTAAAATAGATATTTTAAAAAATGTTTTGGTGCAAATTTGAGAAGTGGTTTTTTTAAAATTCGTTGTAAAAACATAGGAATATTATGTAAAAAATAAATATTATAGGTATGTGTTCATGATTTTTTTTTTAATTGATATTGACAATTTTCATTAGTCATCAAAAGTTATACAAAAGAAAACTCAATTAACCTATTATTTAAAAATGTTTAAATTTAAATAAATATTTTTTTTTAAAGAAATTTTGCTAACTAAATCAACTGGATGGATAAATCAACCCATTTAAAAAGCATAAAACTAATATAAAAAGGTAAATTTATTTGTTCTTAACTTATTGTGCTGTCTTTTTACAAATAATAAATCTAGTACAATTTTAACTAGTTTTAAAAATTTCAGTTTTTTCATTTCATTTCTAAAATTATTTAATTGTCTAAATTTAATTTCCTAATTTTGGCAAATTTTTTATTTATAATATATTTATAGGTGGTTTGCGAAATATTGACAATCAACTGGCAAAAGATATGTGTTCAATCAGTATTGAAACAATACCTGGTTTTAAAAAGTTTCCTTAATGTTGAAAAGAAGTAATAAAAAAATGGATGATTGGTTTGCCTTTCAGGACCACAATGGTGAAGATAAATTTTTGGAACAAACATTTTTTGAAAAAGATATAGAAGTTGCACAAGAAAGAGAAGTTATAAACACCTGTTTTGATAAGTTAGATGTATCACTAGTAAAATTACATGGGGTTCCTCAACATTTTAAAATTTCTCCAGAGAAAAGTAAATTAATGCAGGGAAAAGAAAATCAATGCAATTCTAAATGTTAACGCAACATACCCAAAAAATGATATTACTGAGGAGCCCAATGTTAAATATTGCTTAAAAGCTGAAGATCTAGATAAATTGATAGATGTAGATCATTGCTTGAAAGCTGAAGATTTAGATAAATTAATACTTTCAATGCAAGAAAAGCTGAAAATGGCAAACAGAACAGATTCTGATCTTGACATTAGTTCCAGATTCTTTACAAAAGCAACTGAAGTATTTAATACATCAAAGTAAACCATAACTAAAGCGAGTAAACTTAAATTTGGAAAATGAAACTTTTAAGTAAACTCTTCCAGAAAAAAGTAACATTCTTTGAATTGAATCAGATATCATTGATAAGGTGGAAAGTTTTTTATTGTAATAATCAGTCAGCAGTTGCCAGGTTACAAAAATATTATGTAAGTGTATCCAAAAACAAACATGCATCAAAGTGATTACTTCTTTGCAATTTAAAAGAATTATTTATCAAATTCAAACTAGAGCACCTTTAGTCCAAAATTTTCCAAATTTGTTTAACCCAAAATGGTGTATTTATACTGGTCAAAAAGGAACCCATTCTGCTTGAATATACAATACACAAAAACCTGAAGCTTATGCTAAGCGTAGTTAAACTGTGAAATTAAACTTTTTTAAATTCTTAGTGAAAAACTTAATAGCATAACATCACACTTCCATGTTGCTAAAGCACAAGGTAAATATTTGAATACATTAAAGTTCTCTATACCCATAAATAAAACTATTGTTTTTGTTAGTTTTGCATAAAACTTTAAGTTTGTCATACAAGATGAAATCCAGAGTTACCTCTGGAACTAACAGCAATGCACACTACATCATATAGCTATTTATAGCGAAAATGATCAGGGTGCTACTAAAAGTCAACCAATGTCTTTATGTTTTATATCTGATGACTTAACGCATGAATTTGGATTCATTTATTGTATAGTAAAATGAACTGTTCAATTAGAACAAGAAATGTTTCCAAATACCACATGGTTAGTACAAAAAGTGTAAACATTTTTTAAATTCATGTCATAATGCTGAAGATTTTGAGATGTGATGTGAATGGAATTTCTTTGTAACATCACATGAAAAGTCACCATGAAGACACCCTTGAAAAATTCATTCTTCTTCCTTTACCTAACACTTCATTAAACTGGCCAAGTAGAGATTTTTTTCTGGGTTCCTCTATTATATATTTTAATTATGATAAAAAAATCTTCAAGAATTGGACGCACATACCAGATAGACACAAATGACTCGCCAAAATCCAATCTTTATATTAACTCAATCATATTATACCAGTTTTCTTTTATAAGCAATTTATGAATTGATGCAAGTTCTGGCTTTTTATAGACTAGTTTCCTTTTAAAACTTGTATTCATTTAATTTCTTAGACTCAATATATTACATTTATAATGAGTTTTTTTATCTTAACTTTTGAAAATGTTTTTTTTTTTTATAATGGAAGTTTTCAAAATAAGTATTTTCTTCATAAGTAACATCTGCATGTACTTTTTCATTATAATTCGTTTGATTATTTATAAAAGTACTAGAAAAATCCACTCTCAATTTTGTACCAAAACATTCTTTAAAATATCTATTTTAATAACAACAACAACAAAATTTCTAAAAAATCAATGCTACCATGGTTACCAGGGCTCCTTTCCGCCTTTCACCTGTTAGAATTTCAAAAATAGCTGTAGGTGAAGTACAATCCCCATATTGATATAGTTCTAAATATTTTCATTGAAAACAAACATTATATTCTGATTCCTCTTTTTAAAAACTATACATATGCTAATTTTGAGCTTAATCATGTTTAGTTGAACAGTAACTTGTAAAACAAAAACTATAGTAAAATCAAAATGGTTGAAAATATATACAAAAACTATAGTAAAATCAAAATGGCTGGTTTTAAAGTAACAATATCTCCAAAACCCATTTGATATCAGCCCTAAAATTTTGCAAAGTAGTCTATTTTATAAAAGTGGCCATTTTTACAAAGTGTGAAGAAAATCTGAGATAGTGGATTAAAAACCTTAAAAATTTGTTCCATGTTTTTATCCTCAGCATTTTAGGCTTTTTGGGTTTTTTCTGTCTGATTTTTGTATATTGCATTTTTGATGGAATAATCTGCTTGTCAATTAAATATGATTCTTTTGATTAAACTTTTAAACATTGAGTGTGTACAAAATTCATTGCTTGAATAACTTATTTATTTTGTTGATAAAGATATTATTATCCATTAAATGCAAACATGCATTGCAATGTAATCTAACTAGCAATGCAACATTTAAATAGTTTTTTTAAGTGTCTTAACATCAGCAATAGGAATAAAACACAGTTTCTTTGAACAATAATAGATAAATGATGAAAAAATAACAATACCCATCATTATGCGCACCCAAAATTTTTCTAAGTTTTATAAGGTGTTTGTAACTCATTAACTAGTTTTTTGAACAGAATCCATGTTTCTTCTGATGATCAATCAATTAGGAATATATCTGTCTGCTTAAAAGTTTTTGTTTTGCAAAGTATACAATCTGCACCTCCTAATTTGCTGGTGAGTCGTTTAAATTTTAAATCCTTCATTGTATCTTGAATATAAATTTTGACATTGAGATGAGCTGAACTGGCAACACATTCCTTCAACATTTATTTGTTCTTGTGCATTATCAGTAGTCGGGATAATAAGATCAAATCTTGATTATTTCTGTTTTTCTTATCAAAAACACAGGGCATAATGATCTTGATGCATTTGGATTTTTATGCCACAGTGTCATGTTTTTACTTTTTTGATGGCATACTTATTTCAGGTGATTAAGACCATATTGAAACATATTTGAATAGCTTTTAATAATTTCTTTTGATTTCATTGATGCTTATTGCCCTGCTCCATTACAGCCATTCTTAAAATAAATTTGATATTCATCACCATCTATTGGAATAAAAGAATCTTAAATTTTAAAAAAATATTCAAAACAGAATGAATTGTCATTCTTACAAGTTTTTCACACAGATTTTCAAACTTCTGTAAGTTAACTGAAGTCCGAAGTTTTTAAAAAGTATTTCTTTAATGACTGAATATGTTGATAGAATGTATTTATATCGAATATATTTTTATCGTAGAAGGTACACTTACTTCTTGCGCTTATGGGCTAGCACATCAGAGCCAGATGTAAGACCTACAGAAAGTATTTGTTTAATGACTGATTTGGACTAGACAGCTTTGTCAGCTTTAATAAATTGTGTGAAAAAATCTATTTCAGTGATATTTACATTTTCATCATTTAAGATGAATATACATCATGTTTGTTACAAAGATGAATATACATTATGTTTGTTACAAAGATGAATATACATCATGTTTGGGTTGTGTGGTGTTAGTAGTAGAGTCAAGGATATAAAAAAATGTTACAAAAGTTCAAATCACGGAGGACATCTACATTGGTATTACAAATAGATCACACAACCCTTTTGTTATGTGACGACGTTTATTTTTTTAAATTTTGTGCATGCGTGGTATTGATGGAGGACTACTATCTTATAAGTTTTTCATGTGTTTGTTAGAAATGTAGAAAATCATCAAAATCTGAACACACTTTTTTAACTTCTTTAACTCAATTAAAGTTTATCTTGGTCTATTAGAAACTTTGCCCAAACATTTTTTTGTCCTTGGATTATCTATAAGTACTTTGAGAAGATAGTTTTTACTTCAAAAATACTGCAAAAAAGGTTTTACTTTAGAAATACTGGAAAAAGTGGTTTCAAAACCTAAAGTAAAAATAGTCTAATAAACCTCTAATAAAGTATATTGTTATATTTGTCTTAGTCATTGTTTCTTTTTTAAAACAGATTTTTGAAATAATTTAATTGTAAATAATCATTCTGTTATGTTAGATTTTTTTCCTCTTCTTTTCTTTTTCTTCTTTTCCTCTTTCTTTTTTTCGCTTCTTTTATTTTCCTCTATTCATTTTCAATTCACAACTTTTTAAGTTAATTTTTTTATTTTTTACACTTATTTATAACTCCTTTTTTAAAAAGTGAATTTGTAAAAAAAAAAAATAACATACGTGTGTGAAATGTTTTTATTATATAATTATTTACTATTATATAAATTTGTATTAAAGTTTATTATATAATTGCTTAAGTTGATTATAATATAATAGAAATATAATATAATCAATTTTTTAAACGAGTTACCTGTGACAATTATATTTTTCTATTTCAATTTTAGATATTGGGAGGTTACACAATAGTAGCTCTTTTCAACCATACAGAAAATATACTATAATCAAAATGATCATTGATAACAAGGGGCTTATTTTAAAACCAGTCATAAATATTTCTAACAGTTTTATAGCAGTAATAAAGTATATCTTTGGTATGTGGTTGCTATTATTTTTTTTTATTTGAAAAAAAAAAGTAAATGTATATTCAATTTTCTGCTTTTGTTGTAGTTTGTTTTCATTGATAAAAGTAAACTTTAAATGAATTTTCTTATTGTGCATATAAAGGAATATGGTTATCTAATCACAAATCTCCAAAAGAACTTGAATCAGCGTATAGATCAAAAATCAAAAGAATCTTGAATCAGCATATAAATTGAAGAATTTAGCATTAAACACACAACAGAAATGGACCATCTCAATGAAGATGTGTTCAATGAAAAAAAAAAAAATAATTTTGAAATGTAGCATGAAAGCAATATTATTTTTAAGTGAACAAAATTCAACTTTAAGAGGCAATAACAAAAACTTTTTGAACCAAATAATGATAATTGTTTAGGAGTAATCAAATTAGGTTCTGATTTTGTTCCAGAACTAAAAGTGTATTTAAAATCAAGGCCAAGGTCAGTCGTATGATAACACAAGCAATATGAAAGGAGAATATATGAGAGTAAAAAGCCAAATTTTAGACATCAACAACAAAGCATAATTTATGCTGTGTTGTGGACACAACACAGCATTTAGTGTTTTTAAATAGTGATAAAAACACTATTAAATATCAGAATTATTTCATTACATTATATAATTTATATAATAATGTTAGGTATTATATAAGACCTTGTGGTGAGCTATTCAAGTAAAATATTTAAGAATTAATAAGATGCTAAGAATACTCCATGGAATATGGCATTAAAAGTATAAAAACTGTAAAATAACAGGTTAAAGAAATTAGTGTTGCATTAGATGATCTTAGAAATAGCGACTCAGATTGTTCAACTCAAACCGCATTTTTAATAAAACTTTAAAGAATTTGTTGTGTTCACAACTATGCACATAAACGACATAGCACTTGTTATCAAAACTTCAGATTTTCAACCAATTGCAGCAGCAAAAAGAAATGGCAATATAATATAGAAAGGAAATTTTATTATCAATTGGTGATTTCAAAAACAATTTTGAACAGATTATAAAAGAAGCTCGAGAAGCATTGGTAGAAATGAATGTTAAAGTTCACTGAACATTCTTCTTGTGATACTCAAAGAGTATTACAAGAAGATTGAAGATTACTTAATATCAAGAGATTGGCAGACTATTGTTATTATATAGACCATAAAAATAAAGCAATTGAGAAATATAATAGTATTAATGAATGAGAAAAGTGATTGTATTATAACAAATTAAGAAATTAGATCAACAGGCAAAGAAATTGAATCAATTAAATCCTGTGATCATATTGATATACATAAACTCGTTTCAGAATTTGATGATAAGTGTAACCATCTAACTCAAACGACTGAAGATAAATTTAAAAAATATTTTAGTAACTAGTTCAATATAGTAAAACATTCATTGCAAGAACGATTTGAATTGTATAATTTTTTAAATCAAGTTTTTGGTTTTCTTTTCGATAACAAAAAATTAAAAAAGAAAATAACACAATTGGATTTAGTACTTATTGTACAAATATGGTCAAACACTTAAAGATGATGTAGAAGAAGTGGAATTTAAAAATGTAGAAGTGGAATTTAAAAATGAAGAAGTGGAATTTAAAAATGATGATGTTGAAGAAGTTTAAAAAAGATGATGTTGAAGAAATTTAAAAATTATCTATTTTAAGATTAGGAGTTTGATTTAAAAATGAATTTGGAAGAATTCAGTATGCCTCAAATATTAAATAATTTTAAAAATACCCATCACCATTACATATTGTGAACAATCATTTTCTAAACTAAAATTAATTGAAAATTATCTATGTTTTACATATCCACAAAAAAAAACATTGGGGATATTCAATACAGCTGATAGAAAACGCAGAACATTTGAATACAGAACAGAACATTGATATAATTGATGAATCTGCAAGCAACAATTATTTAATTGATGAATCTGCAAGCAAAAGGGCAATGAAAATTTGTTTATAATTTCTTTGTATAATTTTTAAACCCAATGTAAAATGAATTCAATAAACTTACAAAAAAAAATTTTTTTTTCAAGGGCTTTAAAAAAATACAGTACAGGGCCCCAATACTTTACAGCTTTTTCTCTCTCTCATATATGTATATATGTGTATATATTTATATATGTAGTTATACATATATTAATGTTAGTGATGTACCAATTAATCGGCATCAGCTTTATCTGCCATTTTTTGCACAGTCGGAATCGGTATCAGCGTCGGCCACTTTTATCGATTTTCTAACCGATAGCATTTAATATTTTTATCCTGCATTGTTATAACAATTAAACAATAAATAAACTAAACTTTATACATTACTTACAACTTTTTGGATAAATTTTTATTTTGACTTTGTTTACAGCCAAAAGCTTTAAAAGTAACCAATTTAGGCATTGATATCTATATTTTTTTTAATTCTTTTTTACTCCTATTAATGCTGCAAGCAACCACTATCAAGTTTAGAGTTGCTAGAAAAAAAGAGTAGAGTTATAGAACAAGAAAACGGTTGACAGAAGACTTGAAAAGTTGAAGGTTGTATGAGCCAGGAAAACATGAAGATGGGACAGAGTTCCAATGTGCTGAGAAATAAGCTAGATAGATAAATGTTTTTGGAGCATAAGGAGACAGATACAGTAAAATAATGAGACTTTGATAAATGACAAGTCAAGCAGGAATGAGTTTCGGTTGATGGAACTAGAGATAAAAGCTCCTTTGAGCAGCAACCATTACAGTATTTATAAAAAAGAGAAGGAGATGCAACTTTACGATGATGGGAAAGAAGCTCAAGAATTTATTGGAAATAAAGAAGAGTGTTCACCTTCAAGGATGACTTTATTGAGGCAGTTAAAAAAAAAAAACAATTTGATAATCTCAAAAATTTCCCAGATACACCATATGAAACAAGCTTATGGAGAAGACCAACATGTCAAACTTTGTGGAAAGCCTCAGATATGTCTAGAACAATAGCCTTAAAGCCTCCATCTAATGTATGATAAAATCTTTCAGTTACAACAGTTAGCAAGTCAGCCGTAGAGCAAGAGGATTGAAACACGTATTGGTTGTCAAGCAAGTTATTTGACTAAAGTTGGAATGTGAGAAATATGTTTATCAAAGACTCAAAGACCTTGCTAATGACATAAAGAAGACTGATTGGACAATATTTAAAGGGGTCAGTATGTTTACCAGAGTTTTAAAAAAAATAGAATAACAGATGCCATTTTCCAGCAGGCAGGAAAAGAAGAATCAGTCAAGTGCTTAATAAAGATTTAAGAGAAAATTGAGTCCTGAAGAACAATTTTGTACGACTGTGACAGAAATTCTGGGCCACAAGCTGTAGAAGAGTTTAATTGAGCTATGACTATGAGCAATGGAAGCTGAAGTAGTTTGAATGTCTAACAATGGGTTAACCTGTTTAATTAGAATGGAAGGAAGAGAAAAGCCATGAGATTTGGGAGTCAGATTGGAAGAGAATTTCTTTGCAAATAGTTCAGCCTTATTTCATGTATTTAAGCATAGCCAAGTATCAAGTATATTTCTATATTTTTAGTTTTTTTATTTCAATTCACCTCCATGAGGCTACAAAGGCCACTTTACCTGAGGAGGCTTCTTTAGTTATGGCTACAACCCACTCTTAATTTTATAAGTTGGAAACACAAACCTTGATTAACAAAGATTAAAATAATTGTTTGGCTTTGATTTGTTTCCAAGTATTTGTTTACCAGTATCGATTTAAAGTTGTATGGGTTTATATTTTCAAATTTTTAATAATTAGTTAATTCATCGGTATTGGCATCGGTATTGGTCTTTTCTCATCCATCGGTATCGGCATCGGCCAAAAAAGTGATATCAGTAGATCAATAATTTATATATATTTTTACTATTTTTGAATATGATACGGATTATAAAGCAAAACAAAAAATTAAATATTATTAATAAAATATTTATGGGGATAAATTTTTTATTGGGTGGCTGAGAAATTTTTACAGCTTGCTAAAAAGAAAACTATTATTGGTGATAATAATGCAGATAGTAGCTAAAAGCAGAGGCTTATGGATCTAATTTAGATATTATAGTTGTTGTAAACTTTGTCATGTGATTTTTATAATTTCAATTTTTGTAATGATTTTATTGCTTACTTATACTAGATTGCTTATACTAAACTTTCTTACTATTATAGTTAATTATTTTATAATTTTATTATAGTTAAGTTAAAATCTTTTATATTAAATTTTTTGTAGGTGAAGAATATTCTCAAGATGTTGAATATGTGCCATTAAATGAAAAGAAAATTGTTTTTTTGAAAAGTGTAATGGTGTATCCTTTTAGCGAAAGTTCAACAATTGTTAAAGTTACCATGGAAACCTCTATTGATGTGCTTTTAAATATTGTTCAAATCAATTCAATAGGTATTTTTTTAAGAAAATTTTTATATACTTTTTTAATTAAATGTTATATTAAATGAATTAAAAAAATTCTTTTATAATTATGCCTTTTTTTTAGTTTTTGATGTTTCAAGAACATTTGGCTCAAAAGAGGTTTGGCTTATTGACATTGATGAATCTGGAATGTTACAAAAAATAAAATTGATGAAATCAGAGAAAAAATACTTTATTACAGGAGATGTAGATATTTACTCTCAAACAGATTTAACAAAATATGTTTCTCATTCATATTTATTTAATAATACAATGGGTCGATTTGAAGAACTAATTGATTTTCCATATAAAAATGCATTTTTTAAAATGGAGTTGGACAAAGAGCAAGCAAAAAGCATAACGTATGTTTTGTTGATTTTGTAAAATTGTAAATAAATGCATATATACATGCATACATACATTACATCAATGATTCTGTTACAGAAATACATTTATTTGAATTATTTTATAAAAAGCTGTCTAAAAAGTTGCAAATTTATGTGATTTTTACTGATTTCTGCAGTTTGTGGTAACTTTACAGATGTTTTAAGTAATTTTGAAAAACACAAAAAATATGGCATTAAATGTCTTTCATTTATATAACAAGCATCAATGACTTATTTTTCATAAAATTTTTTTTTGGGGATTTTCTTGATGCAAAGTATTTTATCTCCATACTTTCTTTGGTAGTTTTGCTGAAAAAACATTTATTCTTATCTCATCTCTTCCTCTCTGCCAATATAATAATATTGTCTTTTATTAGTTCTTTCAGAATCATTGACAAAATTTTTTATTTTGAAAAAAGTCCAATGAAAACTCATTATATTTCCAATATTCTTAGGGGGAGGGGGGGAGGGGGAGGGCGGCATTATAAGTAACAAGAGCCTTTTTTCTAGGCTCTTATCTAGAGCAAAAGAGACCAGTTTTGGCTTTGAGAAATGAGGTAATATTAATTGACCACAAATGCTGCTACTTTAATAAATTTATGTTTCAGTCAATTTTTCAAGATATTATTGCAGTATTGCATCCATCAAAACCTGGGGCCTGGTACCTACTGTACCTATAAAATAGAGTTGATAAACTACTCCATATTTATAGAAAAGCTAAACTTTTTTACAAAACTTGTACTTGTTTTTAAATGTCACCATAAGATCTGCCAGTTTAGTTCTTTCTTGTAGCCTCATCTATAAATTAAAAATAGAATTTAAAAATGAAAGTCTTCTTTTACCAGCAAAAAAACATGTTCATTTCCAGTGTTGATTCTAGTTGTATCAAATGTAAGAACTTGTATGTGGTCTTTAAATTTACTTCTAATCAAAACATTTATAATTCTGATTTTTAACATTGAATGAATTGCTAGAATTCCCAGCAGGTGAGTTTCTTCTTGAATTACTTTATTATTCCTAATTATTTTTTTACTTGCAACTTTTTACATTCAGTATATTTAAAACACTAAAGTGCCTCTAAAAATAACTTTTTTTAAAGTTGTCTGCTGAAACCCCCTAAATGTGTTCTATGTAATAAATTAACACTAAATTAAAAGAATTTTTTCACAATAATAGGGACCCATTTGATGTTTAAGGGTCTTCAGCAACCCCTAAATTTTTTTTTGTTCAAATTTTTTTTAATTTAGTGTTAATTCATTACATAGAACACATTCAGGGGGTAGCAGCAGACAATTTCAAAAAAAGTTGTTTTTAGAGGCACTCTAAAAACAACTTTTTTTGTTTATTTTGGTATATTTTGGTATCAGTGAGATACCATTCAAGCTCAGGTACGCAAATCATTTAAAATCTTTTAATGCGATCAAATATAAAAATGATACTGAACTTTCAATAGAAATTCGAAGTTTAAAAGAAAAAGGTACAACACCTATTATAAAGTGGAAAATTATAAAACGTTTGAAGCTTACAAACCAGAAACGAAAACCTGCAAACTTTGTCTTCATGAGAAATTAGAAATTTTATCTTTTAATGGAAACAACCTGCTTAATAAAAAAGATGAATTATCTAAATGTTGACATTTAAATCAATTCCTGTTATCTTCGTTTGATACTGGAGATTAAATGATTGCGTCTTTTTAAATTATTTCAGAACTCGTTCTACCGTAAAATTTTGATTCTTTTTTTAAGAGTTAATTTATGTTTTTAATTTGTAATTATTAGCTGATGATTGCCGAAAGGCACAAAACCTTAAGTACTATTATAATGTTGTTTTTCTTCATTTACATAAAATATTGCTCTATTATCATAATATCGAGCACTATTTTTCCTACAAGAGTTTTGTATTATTTTATATAATACGTAACCAATCAATATATTTGCTCCTACCAGTTAAGCACTTTTCTCGAGTTCATCTAGAAAATGGAAAAAATAAATTCAAAAGCATACCAATACCATTGGAAAAAGAATACAAATTAAAATTAATTAAGAAAACTGAATCATTTTTGAAGAAAATGAGATAAAAAGTGTTCTTTTTTATCAACAGCAATACAACGTCGAAGAAGATAATAATCACTTAAACTACGGAATTAATTCTATAAAATGTCCACCTCAAATAAAAGAGATGTCTTCTTTCGAAAAAGATGTAATATATCTAATTAAAACGATAAAATTTCGAAAAGTTAAAAACATCTTTTAAGATAATATGAAAAAAGATTTAAAAACCATACAAACGTCTAACAAAACTTTTATAAAAGCTGACAAAACATCAAATATCTATAAATTATCGAAAGAATAATATAATCACCTTTTAACTAATGCTATTACTACCACTTACAAAAAAGCTGACCAAAATCTAAAAGATAAAATAAATAAAGAAGGGAAAGATGTTTTGCATAACCATGACGTTTATAATAAAATCAAAATTAACGGATCATCTGGATGTTTTATCTCATTGAAGATGATATAGATAAAGATAACTTTGCTAACAACCCTACTGTTTGACTTCTAAATCCAGCAAAGAATGAGGTAGGGAGAATTAGCAAAATTATTTTATCTAAAATTAACAATGACCTAAAAACTAAGCTCTTTTCAAACCAATGGCAAAGCACCAAGAATGTTACTGACTGGTTTGTAAAAATTGAAGACAAATATTTGTACAAATTTTTAATTTTTGACATTAATGATTTTTACCCTTCGATAAGTGAAAAAACCCATCGTAAAAAACAAACAAACAACGCAATCAACTTTGCAGAACAACGCAATCAACTTTGCAGAACAGCATATTTTAATAACTAATGAACATAAAAAATTAATAAAACATTCAAGGAAATCTTTACTTTTTAACAATGAGGAAGTGTGGATTAAAAAAAATGGTGGTCAATTTGATGTTAACTTGGGGGCTTATGACGGTGCTGAAGTTTACAAGTTAGTAGTAATTTTTTTATTATTTCAAATTTTGGTTTGTATCGTGACGACGGTCTAGCAATATTTAAGAACATCAATGGCCAGCAGATGGAAAAAATCAAGAAACATTTTGTAAAAATTTTTCAAAGTAATGATTTTCGTATATCTATCCAATGCAATATGAAAATTGTAAATTATCTTGATGTGACACTCGATCTTAATAGCAACTCTTTTCGACCTTACGCTAAACCAGATAATGAACTTATATATGTCCACTGTGATTCCAACTACCTGCCTAATGTTATTAAAAGACTCCAATGTACTGTTTTTAATAATGCTACACCATCTTATGAAGAGGCTTTTAAAAAAGCTGGCTATAACTGTAAGCTTACATACCAACCCCAGGTTACATCACCTAAAAATAAAAATCGCCAGCGAAATATTTTATGGTATAATCCCCCATTCAGTCTAAATGTAGAAACAAAAATAGGAAATCGTTTATTAGCATTGGTGGATCTACATTTCCCTGTGAATCACAAACTATGCAAAATATTCAATAGAAATTTGGTCAAGGTTATTTATAGCTACATGCAAAATATTAAATCCATCATTAGTTCACACAACCACAAGATTTTACAAAGTCAAAAAAATATAACTACAAAAACATGCAACTGTATTACTAAAACCGCTTGTCCATTAAGCAACCAATGTTTAGTAAGTAATATTGTTTACCAAGCCACTGTGAGTTCTGATGATCCAGATCCAAAAGAAAAAGTATATTTTAGTATCAGTGAGACACCATTCAAGCTCAGGTACGCAAATCATTTAAAATCTTTTAATGCGATCAAATATAAAAATGATACTGAACTTTCGAAAGAAATTTGGAGAAGAAAAAGGTACAACACCTACGATAAAGTGGAAAATTATAAAACGTTGTGAAGCTTACAAACCAGAAACAAAAACCTGCAAACTCTGTCTTCATGAGAAATTAGAAATTTTATCTTTTAATGGAAACAACCTACTTAATAAAAAAGATGAAATATTATCTAAATGTCGACATTTAAATCAATTCCTGTTATCTTTGTTTGATACTGGAGATTAAATATTGTAATTAATAGCTGATGATTGCCGAAAGGCACAAAACTTTAAGTACTATTATAATGTTGTTTTTCTTCATTTAAATAATATATATATATATATATATATATATATATATATATATATATATATATATATATATATATATATATGTATATATATATATATATATATATATATATATATATATATATATATATATATATATTTCCAGTTGTCCAAATGTGATTCAGCAAATCCTTCAAATATTATCCAGCAAAAATTTGTTTTCATAGCGACACTTGGATATTAGTTCGCTTTTTTTGTTTAATAGTTCTTTGGGATTTTTATACGAAAAACTAATAATTTTATAAAATTACTAGTTTTTTGTATAAACCTAATAGGCATTTTTAGTTATGTTGTTGTAGATGGGCACTTTTATATATTTTATATATTGTTTATAATATCATTAACTTTTAGAATTTCAGCAAGATCAATAATTTTCTCACAGCAAGATGTTCCTTTAGAAACTGTCATATGGCAACATGACAAGCTTTATTGTGCAACAGTTTTTCGTTTGAATGATATTAGTTTAGATGAGGTTTTAAACAGGCTGTATGATGCTCGAATGCTTAAATTTACCTGGCTTACTTTAAAAAATATTGGTAAAAATTGTTAAATCTAACTTCTTTTTCGTTAAACTTTTTTAGTAAAATAAACTGAAATGACATAATAAATATTTTTTTTTTTTATATAGAAATTGTTTTGAGATCAAATGCTGGAAATGTAACAGGAATTTTTTCAAGTGTCTTTGGAGACTATGTTTCTCTTAAGAGCAAAAGTATTTCAAAACTTTATTTTGATTCCATGTTAAGATTTTATGTTTATAATGAATTTATGTTTAATGTTTAAATTTAGTTTAATTTAGAAGTATATTTTTTTACTAACCAGCATAGCACCATTTTTTAAAACACCAAGACTGGTGTTCTAAATTGATTCCTTCTTTGAATTTTAAATACTGTACTTTTTTGACTCAGTTCATCTTTATTTTCACCTTTGATTGTTTTGAGGCTATAGCTTTATAAGTCAGTATATTGGTTTTGTAACTGGCTGGTGGTAAGGTGGTAAATCTGTAGCCTCAAAGGTGCTGGTTACATTAACAGGTATAAAACATTTGATTACAAATTGCTATGTTGCTCATGAATACTGTTAATGTTTATGTTTTATTTGTTTATTGTCAAAGCCATATTGCTACTTGTTGTTACAGAGATATTTATTTAGCTCATCATTTAAAGTGCCATTCTATCAATACCATGGTCTTCAGTTTCAGGGAAAAAAAGGAATAATATTGTGTATATTGGCAAAATGACATTAAAAAAACCCAATAATGCAAGTGCAAAAACAAGGAATCAAAAACGATGATGATAACTATTTTTAAAGTGTTAATTTTTGTTTAACCTACTAAAATTTCTTCTGATTGTTTGTTTAACTATGCAATCTAATTTTTGTTTTTGTTTTAAAACAAGTTGTTCTAAATATATTTACTCTTTGTTTGTGTACGAGTTTGCTTATATATTTCTTTCCTAGTTGTTTGTGTTCTTTTTAGTATTAGGAGTTATAATTTTTTTTGTTTTTATTATTTTTCTCCTTGGTTGTCTTCTTTATTTTTTGATCATTTACCTAGTAACTTGGAACACAGTTTATGGTTGTCTGCAGCCATCTTAAAAATAGAATTCTGTGTGTATATAAAATTTGTGTATGTTTAAAATATTTGAAGTGCTTTTACTTTAAATCCATTTATTCTTATATTTAGGCGTTGTTGTTGTTCATGGACAATTATCTGTGAATCTAAAAACAACATGTCTTGATGATCCAATCTGCAATTTCATTAAAAATCATATTTCTCATCATCTAAATATTGAAATAAAAGGCAATGCTCTTAAGAACTCTTACTCTTTCAAGTGTCTTTTAAAAAATGTTACAAAAATGTTCGGTGATGTTTGGATATTAAATTCAATAGAACTGAATATATTTGGAACTAATGAAAAGGATTCAAGAGTCCAGCTTATTGGAAAAATTGTACATAAAGAAACAAAGCATGTTGGAGAGGGTAAGTTTATTAGTTGTTTAACATAAGGGGCTGTTCAAATAATATGTGATGAGTTAGAAATTTTGATTTTTTCATGTTAGACCTTAGTAAAACCTTATTGTTTCTATTGTGGGCAAAATAGTTTTCCTCATTAAAAAGATGCTTGTGAAGTTGCATCATTTTATTCCCAGCCATTTACTAGGTAAATCTAAGGAATCAAGAAACTATCAGAGAACAAAAATTTGGGATTAGATGAAACAGGGAGCTAAAACAACTACAGCAGCTTTGGTCATTTTGCTGAATATCTTTAAGTTTGTAATAAGCTATTTAATTATACTTTGATAAGAATTTAAATTAAAAATGTTTTTCTCACTTTACACTGTAAGTAATCCCTCCCCCTGCCCTCTTCTATATGATTTTTGGCAACACTTTTCAATATCCCTCCTTTCCCATGACTGCCATGTATTATTTTAGTTGCCCCTTAACAGTAAAAAGTATACAAAAAAGTAAGTGAAGTTTTTTATAATAATATATGAAAATTAGTTACTTTTTTTGCTTTTTTTTTAACTTTAAATATTTTTACATATGTTATAGTGTTTATTGGAGAAGATGATTTACTAGGAAAGACAGTATTAAAAATAACTTTTGATAAACAATGGAAAAACTTTCTTGGTTATTCTATGCTAACGATAAAATCTATGAGAGCAAGCATATATATCACAGATAAACCAGTGGAAACTTTAGGTTACTTATTTTTTAATTTTATATATGCATATATATATATATATATATACATATATATATATATATATATATATATATATATATATATATATATATATATATATATATATATATATATATATATATATATACATGCATAGAGACACTACTTTTCTTTGTAAGACTAATTAGAATTCATTTGTCATATTATCTGATCTTAGTGTTAATGGCTTTGCTAAAGCTTTTGATAAGGTTAGTCACAGGCTTCTAATTGTCAAATAATGGCCATATGGCTTTGACACAAGTACCTGTGGATGGATAGAAGTCTTCTTAACTGGCCAGAGTCAGTTTTACAATGTGAGTACTTCTCTGATTGGTTGGATGTCCTCAGTGGAGTTCCACAAGGTTCTGTACTGGGGCCTATTCTTTTTGTGATTTATACTAATGACATGCCAGGCCTCACTAGTCACATTTGCAAGCTGTTTGCTGACAACACGAATCTAATAGCAGTTATAAAGAATACCTCCGGCTATACAACTCTCCAAAACAACATTGACTGTCTAGTCAAATGGGTCCATACATGGAGCATGGGTTTTTATATAGACAAGTGCAAAGCTATGTTCTTTGACAAAAGAATTAACAACCAATATTGTTGATGACCTACTGGGTCTGCACATAATCTTCACCATGACCAACCTCCTTGACAACAACCACAGTCCTAACAAGACCAGCTTTTCAGCATCATTGTCAACAACCAACTGAAGAGGCGAGATCAAGTTTTTGATTTTGCTAAGGCTAACATGGCGCTAGGTATGTTAAGAAGAACCTTCCATTATTGGGATATTAATATCCTTTGTATACTTTATACAACTTATGCATGGCCACATCTTGAGTTCTATTTTTCTGCATGGAACCCTTATTATCGTTGAGACATTGATGTTCTCGTAGCAGTTGAAGAAAGAGCCACTTATTTGGTGCCTCATTTTAGGCCTTTAAAGTATTATCAAAGACAAAACACTACAAATATTTGATCTCTAGAGGATAGACAGTGACCTCATCCAATACTTCAAGATGTACCATGGCCTCAACAATGTTGAGCTCCAGAGACCAAACTAGTTAGCTGCAGCATTATGTGTGCAGGAACCTGCAAAGAGCCTCTGAGGGCATTGTCATCAAAATCAATGCCAAACAGTAACTAACTGTATCCTACTAGAATTTTCTTTCACTAATTGCGTTGTACCTGACTGGAATTTACTTCCAAATTCCAATATATCTGCTGCATCATTGAACAACTTTATTGACATCATTGTTACATCAACTTTATTAACACCATTGAACAACTTTAAAAAACAACTAGATACATATTGGTTACTGATCAAAGAATCATAAACTAGTTTTAAAACAGTTTTTATCAGATTTAGTTAGGTTTGAGGTTCAAACCAGCTTGCAAACAGAGCTTGAAACAGATGTCAACTGTAGTGTACATAAAACAAACTTAGTGATTTAATTGTATATAAAAGAAAAGATTGTGATTTTCTATATGACAACTGAATATCTTCGATAATAAGAAAGTAAGGAATAAAATTAAAACAAAACTTCTTTTTTAAATGAACGCTTGCAAACATAATCTGAATGACAGATCAATGAATCATCAGATGTATAATAGAAATATTAATTACTTTACATATTCATCTGATATATAGCCACATACAAGTAATGATTAACTTTTGTAATCCTAGTCATTTGTATATATATGTATAAATATATATATGTATATATATGTATATATATATATATATATATATATATATATATATATATATATATATATATATATATATATATATATATGTTTATATATATATATATATATATATATATATATATATATATATATATATATATATACATATATGTATATATAGTATAGTATCAATTGGTATTGCAACTCGGGTTATCATGAGAACTTGTGTTTTTATTTTTATATATGATTAATAATTTGAAATAGTAAATTCGTATAATAAATGAGATGTATATAACTGGCTTTATTATAAAAGAAAATCTCAAAGATGGTTGTACGACATCATGTTTATCATTTAATTTCTTATCTGGTATATTTGTTTAAATATAAATGATTGTGTGGTATCACTTCTGTATTTTAATTTCTCATCTGTTATTGTTATTACAATTTTTCTATTGTGATTAAAAGGAAAGAAAAGAATTTGTTTAACATTTGTTTCTATATTAAATTATTACAAATAATTAAATTTAAATTGTTAAAGAGTGTGTAAGGGGTGGACAAAAAGGAAAGGGGGCAGTATTTGAGGTTACTACCCACCCCCCTATCAAAGAAATGTCAAACTTTAAAATATTATTGATAAAATTAAAAAAATTAGAAAAAATACAAAAAATTGTAATTCAACATTTTATTTTTTTTCTCAAAAAAAAAGTATTTATATAACCATTCAATATATTTATTAGCAAACTATCTTATAACCTTTCTAAAACCATTCTAAATGATCAAATGAAACAGTTGTTTTATTTAAAAAAAATGTAAATCTTATTTTTATATATTTTTTGGTCAGACTACCCTCCTAGAACAATTTCCTGTATCCCCTTTGCAGTGTGTAGTTTCTCATATCGTTATTCCAATTCTATTGAATTTTTATTCTATTCAGGCAAAAATTTTCTGTGCGGAATTAGTTTTTCATATCAATCAATCGTTAATGATTATTCTAAACAAGTATAAGAAATAATTGTTCAAAGGAAAATGATTTTGTAACAGTCATTACAGTTATTTAAATTTAATTAAATGTGTGATATCGCATCCATATTATAATTTCTCATCTGGTATTGTTACTTTAATTAAATCTCTCGTGGTATCATAATTCTCGCCTAGTCTTTCGTTCTGTGTTCAACATTCAACAACTAAACTTTAGTTATAAATAATTAAACATAAGTATACTTTAGTTATTAAAGAAAACTAATGCCTTTTACAACATCTTTAATCTGAGTTTATTTTAAGAAAAATATAGGTAACTGTATTAACTATACACTTCTTCTAAGTATTGTTTATACTTTATCTCAAAAGGTAATTGCCAACTATGCCAAAAAATAATCCTGAGATTCATTACCAGCAGAATTGTTTTTATATATAATAATTTAACTCTCTGACGTAGTAGCTTGCGTAGCCAATCGGATCAAGTTATGGTTTTTTATTTTGGAGAATTAGGTTTAACTCTTTCTGAAAGATTTAATTTTTTTAATTTTTTTAAATTAAAAAATCAGTTTATTTTTACATTTTTACGTAAAAATAAACTGATTATTGTTTATTAACTAATAAGATTTTAAAAAATTAAATTTGGTGGAGCAATCATTCATAAGGCACAATGTGCTAAATTGACTGCCAGGTTGTATGTCTGGCCACTCTGAATTTTTTTGTTTCATATATAGATACCTACTAATTGTTTTTGATAATAATATTTCTGAAATTATTTAACTTAATTTACATTGTTTAGGTGTAAAATTTACAGTAAATGCCCCCAAAACTATTAAAATATTAATAGAAGAAAGTCCTAAAATAGTGAAAGTACAGCTAAAGAAAAAACAATGAATGGATAATAGCCAAAGTAATGTAGATTGTTGAAAAAGCAATAACTTTATTGAGAGTCTTGATTCAAGACTATGTGATAATATACGATTCTTTTTATTATTGGTATTGTTTGGTATCGAAGCAATACTGATAGTATCAACATAGGTACATAAGCAATACCACACGATACGAGACCATTCTTCTTGGTATCAAGTGTTATCAAACAGATACTGATAGTATCAACATTACTATATAAGTGATACCACGGGATACGAGACCAATTATCTAGTGTCTACTGCCCATAATTTTTCGAGCTTTTCTGCCAAATGATAACAATTAATAACGATAACATTGTTGTTGCTCACCTTTTTAGCCAAATCGTCTTCAATCAAAATAATCAAGTATCAGTAACGCAATTCTGGCCCATAGTCGAATGGAGAAAATTTTTTACATTTTTTTAGTTTACTAAATGATTGTTCACCCTCAGCAACTGACTCAGGAATAGTGTTGAAAATCCGGATCATGATGCAAATGTATGTAAGAAGGCATTCAAGTTTCTTCTCAAAGATTTAATTGAGTAGCTGCATTAGATTTCCATACCTGAAAACTGTATTTGTGGCCATTTTTAAAACGACAAACTTCTTCAATGAGATTCTCTTTTTTTTCACGTCTCTCCGATATAACCATGCAAGTTTTCAAGCTTTATTTTAAATGGAAAGATCATCATTATTTAACCAGACAAATGAAAGCATATTGCTTATGTTCCTTTCTACTGTATCAGAATATCTTAATTAACATTAAAAATGTTTATTTTAAAGAGTCACATCCAAAATTCCACAAAGAATTGTTCTCCATTTAGCTGACTCAGAATTTTTTTACTTCTGGAGCTCTGAATATATACCAGTGGAGCTGCTAAAATGAATATAGGCCTTATTCCATTCCATGTAGAAGTTTTGGTTAAATGGGTTGGATTGATGCTGCTTTACACAATCTATGAGTTTCTTCTATTGATTTCTAGCTACTCAATTCCAATGAAGAATGGACAATTACTTGCTTTTGAATACTACTTTCATGCTTGGAGTCTCTTTAAAATAATTACATCTTGAACTTTTTTACTCAAAAAAACTGGCCACAAAGAGGTGTTTAATTATTACCAATACAGGTAATTTTTAATAATTTTACCTGTATTTTAATAATTATTACCAATACAATAATACAATACATTACTTATTACCAATACAGGTTGAACATCACATTCTCCACTGTTATATAAAGTTTCTTCTTCTGACTTTGATGAGTCACTTAAAATTCATTTAGCTCAGCTTCAGGGGTATTGTTTGGGGCCCCCACTGATCCACAGTCCTTTGAATCACAAATATTAAATGCAGTAAATCATGTTGAGTGCAGCAAAGATGCAAAACACAAATATTTGATAACTGGCCGAGACCTGCAAGAGGCAAGGCTTGTTTGTCTAAAAAATGCCATGCTATGATTCTCTCTTTTGCTTCAGCAGTTAAATACTAGTTGAAATATTAGCACTTTTAAGTGAAATCAACAGCAAATGTATCATTCACTTTAATTTCTTCAACAACTGCGTTTCTTACCTATGGAACGCCCTACCTAACAAAATTTTCAGTACTATGAGTGTAGACTGCTTTAATGATCCAATATTGACTGATAAGCTGTCATTATTATTAACACATCGCATCATCTTCCGTTCAATCGGGCACAAGCTAACATAGCTATCTTTATGGGCTTAAGGATTATGCCTGGTTCCATCTAATTCAGCAAAAATTAAATTCTTTTTTTTTCATAAAAAATAGTTTATAGTTAATTATAGTAATAGAATTAAAAATTTAAATTGTTTTTTTCATGTGCATTTTTGTTCTAAATACTAAAGTTTCAATCTCAAATACTAAGCAAATTTCAATCATTAAAAAGTTTTTTATTTATTGTAAAGAAAACAAAAACTAATGGATTGTCCAGCGTCCATTCAAGTTTGGCGCCTAGGTCAATTTGCCCTCTTTGCCCCTTCCTCTGGATGGCCCTGTATATAATTATATATATATATATATATATATATATATATATATATATATATATATATATATATATATATATATATATATATATATATATATATATATATATATATATATATATATATATATATATATATATATATATATATATATATATATATATATATATATATATATATATATATATATATATATATATATTAAAAAATAATAAAAGTTACTCTTTTTCAAGACAAACAAAATCTTTTGGGAAAAAATAATTAAATCATAACTTTTGTTCTTCCTGAAACTTTCTTTAAACTGAACCTCCTTTTCTGAACCTACTTTTCTTTTCTGACCCTCCTTTTCTTTTCTGAACCTCCTTTCTTTAATCACTTATTAAAGTCTCTGAACACCTTGTAAAGCTTTAGCTTTATAAATTCATAAGTTTATATAATTTTATATACCTTAATAACTTTATTTAGGAAAAAAATATTTGTAATAATACTTTTATTATATTTTTATCTTACTTTAGATTTTAATGCAAGGATAGAGATTGGGAATACAAATAAACCAATTTTCATAAATAAAGCTGTCGTAACTTTGAGTCTTAAATTTAAGAGTTCAGAAGATTCAGATGTTGTATATGCATTTCTTTACGGATTAACGATGGACAGCCTCTCTAATGCTTTTAAAAATAGTAAAGTTCATTTTCTAATCCAAGACACTGTTTTCAGTGATGAGCTTGTTTTAGCTTTTACTCAAAACAAAAAAGGTAAGAACTTTAAATTATATTTTGTTTTTATTTTGTTTTTGGGAAGCTGGAATTTGTATGCTGTTACAGTGTGAATCTGTACAGATAGTAATCTATTTAAAAATTCTTATTTGAACTATGAGAAACTTTTATAACTTGTTCTGATATCGTGTTGTGCTCTCATTGTACTGATATTGTGTTGTACTTTCTTTCAAATATTGGATAAAAATTTTTTCTGTAAATTTGTTATTAGTTTTTTAATGCTCTTGAGCATTTGACATTTTTTAAAATTTATTCATTTCTTTTAATTCTAATTTCTGTAGATTGACTTTAGTTCGCCTACATTTTTATTTTTTTATTAAAATATTATCTTCAAATTTATGTTTTTTATTTTTTATTTTTTTTTCTATTCAATGTTAGTTAAATTTGCCTAAGGGCATGAATAATTTCAAGTTATGAACAAAATGCTATTTTTTTGTTGTTATTTTTTTACAAAATGCTATACACTTGCAGCGTGGAAAAAAACAGCCATTCAACAGTCAATGACCACCTGAAATGACTAAAAATGCTATTTTGACCTCCCAAAATGAACTCTAGCTGGTTAACCGGTTGAAAAAAAATCAGAGATTTAAAAGCAAATAGTTAGGATAATTAGGATTTGGAAAATTGTTTTATAAAATTATTTAAATTTTGAAAAAAGTTAAAAACAGTTTTCTTGTTTATGATACGCTAATTTAATTGCGGGTTGTTAAAGCGGAAAGAAGTTAAAACGAATTTTTTCTTTAACCTTTTCTTTTTCAATGCCTGGTTTTTATCTTTGTTTAAAAAACTTTTCAATAAATTTATTTTTAATAAATCAATATAATTAAAAATTAAAAACTTTGATTTATATCAATATAATTCAAATAATTGTTTTATATAATTAGTTATCCTCATTATTATTTGAGTATATATTAAATTGATAGTTGATAAATCTTATAGTTATTGCATATTAATAGAAACCAGTAATTTTTCTGCTTTAACAACCCTGAAATTATTAATTTGCTTTGTTAACAAGCATTTTGCATGTAACGTATACGTAACACTGTAAACTATAATCATTAAGTTTTTTGCTACACATTAAAATTAATTTTATTTTACCGATAGTGAAAATCCTTTTTCTTAAATGATTGAAGTTCTTATTTTATTATTATTTTAATAGGAAAAAAAAAATTTATTATTTTATTAATAATATAATAATAAATATTAAATTATGTATTTAACTATGAACAGTTTTTGTTTTATCTGCACTTAGTCAATTTGTTTTATTTTTCTTACCTTTTGATTTATTTCCTTGTAAGTTTTGCTGCAAATTGCAAATAAATGAATGAATGGTTTATAGAAAAATTAAGCGCTTGCTCATTTTTTTTCACAACAGAATTATTAAAAAATTTGTTATGGGAAAAAAAACCCCGGGAAAAAATTCCCCCGAAAAAAAATACCCCCAAAATAATCTCCTAAGAAAAAATTCCCTCAGAAAATATCCCCCCAAAAAAGTATTTTTTTTCTTTCATTTAAAAATTATCAATATATAGTTATGTTTATTTCTTTATTTTAAATATTTTTTTAAAATACTTCATTTTTCATCAAAATGTCAAGTTATGTGGTATTCCTCAAAAGTAGCGGATGTGAAACCCTAACCCTAACCCTGACGAACTGCAAACTGGTAAATGTGAACTGTTTTTGCAAACCATTGTCGTATTGGTTGTTAATGATGTAATACTTTATTTATCGTTTAATGTTAAATAGTTAATTTAACGATATATTTTAAGGACTTTTAAGCGGAAAAATTATTAAAAAAAAAAATAAAAGGAAATAAAGTGAAACTAGACAAATACAATATGAAAAAATGTATATATATATTTTTTAATTTTTTGATGGGCTGCCTGCCCAAACCAAACCCTCAGTCAATGTAGCAGCACTTTTTTGTGAGTCAGTCTATTTGTCAGTTGAAGTAGCAGCATTCCGTTACAAGTCAGGCTATAAGATAGTCGATGTAGCAACACTCAGCGCATGTTTTACAGTTAAAAAATCAAAATTTTACATTAAATAAAGCTTTAAAATAGATATTAAGAATTAGAGAGTTTTTTTTATTATTATTTTTATCATAAAAATAATGGTCTTTAAAATATAATGTTTTGGTTCGTAAAAAAGTTCGCATTTAACCGGTTCGCAGCTCGCATTTTACCGACAACCGAGGAATAGCGCATAAATTGACATTCTGATGAAAAATGAAGTATTTTATAAAACTATTTAAAAAAAATAAATAATAAGTGATTTTATTGATAATTTTTAATTATAAACAAAAAAAAAAAAATTTTTTTTTTTGGGGGGGGGGGATATTTTCTTGGGGGATTTTTTCCTGCTACCTAGAAAATCAGTATTTTTATTTAAAATCCCTTTAGCAACTTCAAAAGATTTATTTCATTATTATTTGAAGTTATTTAGTTAATTATTTATTTAATTATAAGAACATAATCCTTTAAATCCTCAACGGTCCTTTTTTTTTCATTTAATCTTTTCTATTATTTTTCAATCAACTTTTCCTGCCATTTGCGAAGTCATTGCAATGAAATTATTTTTAAATAAATTAAAAATTATCAATTGGCTGTTTGCGCTTTTAAAAAAACATTGATTTTATTTAAAATTGTTGTTATTAGGTTAATTTTTTTCTTCAAGCATTAACTTATTATTGTATTTATAAAGTCAAGAAGAATTATTAGACTTGAACAAAAAAAATTTTTTGACCATCTAAAAAAAACAATTGACCGTCAATTCCTTAAGTTGGCCGTTCAAATTGACCGCTCGCCTTTAATTCCTTATTTTCCACGCTTCACTTCATTGTATCATCATTGTTTTTATTTTTTATTTCTTTATTTGCAAAGTCAAACCTTGATTACTTTTTAATAAATCAATTTTTTTGTGTTATTGACAATAACACAAAAAAATTATTTGTTTTCAATATTTAAGTGCTGTAGTATTAAAATGCTTTTAAAGTGCATGTACTATGCAAATAAAGTGCATGTACTATGCAAATTTACATGGAAAGCGTGTACACAAAATATGTGTGAAAGTAGAAAAACGACTCATAAAAGGTACTCATTGATTTTATTGGGAACTAAGTATTAGTTTTAATGCATTAATATAAAAAGATAAAATATTTCAACAAAGTTAATTTATTCCGCTGGGTATCTAATCAAATTTTGAACTTTTGATTTAGTGGTACACATAGGCTTGAGCACAGAACAATAAAAACTGTTAAATGTTTTCTAAATGAAATATTCAAATCTTTAATATTTCTGCATAGTTTTTTTATATTTTTTTATTTTTTGTCTAATAATTACCAAGTGCATTGCAATAATTTTTAATACTGGGCAGCTTAGAGGATTTTAGACAACTTTCAGGTCATTTTTTTTACACCATCCCATAGCCAGTTTACTAAAAAAACTTGATGATAAATCAGGCCAGAACACATGTCTACTATCATTTGATTTAGTAGGAGGTAAATGATGTTTTTGTTAACACGCTTTAACATATATTTTACCAAAAAGAGTGGACATTAGGGTGGTTCTAAAAACAACATTTTTTGAGAATGTATGATGGCACCCCCTAGATGCGTTCTATGAAATAAATACTGCATTTAAAAAATTTTGAATAAAAATTTTTTTTAGGGGTTGTTCAAGACCCTTAAACATCAAATGGGTCCCTAATATTTTGAAAAAAAAAAGTTCTTTAAAAGCATATCATGTTGGGTCTCTAAAGAAGTGAAATTTTATAAAACATTTGAGCTATTTGCAGGTATGTCCTAGTAGATACAGTGTCTCAAAAAATTACCCGACCAAACATTTTTAAAAATATTTTACCTAAAAAAAAGTGCTGTATTTTTGTAAATTTTGACTTTTTTGGTTAATAAAAATAAAAGAACTTGTTTTTAAATAGATTTTATTTATTTTAGTGTAAAATATGAATCACAAAGTTTTCAGTCTTAAAGGAACTTAGGTCGTTTTGTTTTTTGTCAAAAAATATTTGACCAAATATATTTTTGCTCCGTAATAAATTATTAAATAACAAAACAATTATTTTAATACTTTGTAGGACCTCCCTTTGCTTGGATTACAGCTTCTAGACGTCTAGGCATTGATTCGACTAAAGATTTTAATTTTTCTGGTTGAATCTTTTCCCAGGCTTCTTTAATTGCCACTTTGAGGTCATCTTTTTTGGAAAATGACCAATCTTCAATTTTTCGGTCTAAAACATCCCACAAATGTTCATTTGGATTAAGGTCTGATGATTATGGGGGCCATTCCAAGACTTTAGCATTATTTTCAGCAAACCACTCCTTGGTTTTAGTGGCACTATGCTTGGGATCATTATCTTGCTGAAATGTAAAATCAGATCCTGGCCGAAGTTTTTGAGCAGATGACTTCAAATTTTGCTTTAAAATATTTCTGTATTGCACCTAATCCATTATAGTATCAATAAATTGAAGTTTTCTGACACCCTTCCAAGCCATTGAACCCCATACCATCATGTTACCGCCACCATACTTGACAGTTCCTCTCACGCAGCTTAATTTATAGGCTTCTCCTGCTTTTCTCCAAACTTTTTGGGTTCCATCAGATGACTTTAAGTTGAATTTTGATTCGTCGCTCCACAGGATCTTTTTCCAGAAACTTAACGGCATGTTTTTGAACTTCTTAGCAAACTCCAATCTTCTTTTCATGTGTTTCTTACTCAAATATGGTTTATTACGCACAAGTCGTCCTTGAAATCCCTGGTCTCGGATACGATTTCTGATTGTCTGATGGGATAATTTGATTCTATAATTCTCTTCAACTTGCTCAGCCAGTTTTTGCGCAGAAATGAATGGATTTTTCTTGTCTTGTATAATTAAGTTTCTATCAAAACTCTTAGAAGTCTTTTTTTTGGGACCCTGTCCTTCTTTTGTGGCTGTTGTTCCCATCAAATTATACTTCTTCATT